GGAGTGTTCTGAATGGAACCTAGAAATAAATATATCTAAAACAAAAATCTTAATTTTTAGGAATAAATCATTAAAAACATCTGAATACTTCTATTACAAAAATACGATTATTAGCCGTGTGTCAAGTTATACTTATCTTGGGATAATAATCTCATCATCTGGAAATTTTATAGAAGCAAAGAGAACATTAGCAGAGAAAGCATGCAAAGCTATGTTTATACTGAACAAAACATTGGAAGGGAACACTGACATCAAACTCTTTCTGACCTTACAAAACAAGCATACTATGAACAACATACATGGTTATAATCAGTAAATAAAATATTAAAAGATAATTATTACACATCATTACAACAGGTATTCCAAAAAGAAAAATTCATAAGATTATAAATAACATTGAAGCAAATATAAAACAAAAATATGTAAACCAGTGGAAGTCACAAATCTCAAATGATAATAGTAAACTTAGAACATTTGCAAAAATCAAATTTAAATACTATTTTGAGCCGTATTTGACACTACAAAACATTAACCATAGAAATGCATTACTAAAATTGAGAACAAGCACACACAAACTTGAAATTGAAAAGGGCAGGTACACATACCCTAAACACCAGTAAATGAAAGAAAATGCAAACAGTGCAACATGAATGTGATTGAGGATGAATTTCACTTTCTCATCATCTGTCCAAAATATGGAAACTTGCGCCAACAACTTGTGTCTGAATTTAATTTTCTATCACATGATGCACACAATACATTCATTCAATTGCTCAGTGCAGATGATTGTGAAATTTATATAAAAGGTTTCACAGTTTATTTACAAAGCCTTTCAAGAAAGAATAGATAGTTGATAGTTTTGGATTTTATTATTATTAGTCTTAGTTTTATTATTATTAAACTTATTAGTATTAGTAAAAAAAATTTAACACATTACATCTTACTTTTATACTTAACATTTTAATATTTTCTCTTTCTTTATTATTTCATTACTATTATTATACTTTGTTATACTTTTATTGCTACTGTACTGATAGAAATACTGTATTTCTAAAGATGCAATAAATAAATATTATATTATTATTATTATAATGGGGGAGGGGCAGGATTAGGAATAGAGTGTCGTGTTAAGCATTTGATCGTTATCATTCGAAAACACTTGTATTATTAAAGTTTTCTTAAATACTGTTTTGAGTACTTTATATATTTGATACATGTACAATTTTTTGCTTTAAACCATGTCTATAAATAGATATGCTGGTGACACAAGTGCGAATGTGATGGAAAACACCACTTTATTACGTATTTGTATAATGTTAACTTTTGGCCAATTAGGAACATTCCCGCCTATGGTTCAGTATCCTACCGAGCCTATAAATAGGATGCGCAACTATTTTAGCAGCAGTCTTAACCGCGTTGTTGTGTTTAAAGTTTGCTTACATGTTACTTTATGGTAAATTCTCCTGTATATCAGTGGATGTACTGTATTGACGTAATAAACTACTCTACTTGTTTATTACTTACGTATTCCTTTCTTGTGATTGATTTGTTTGCATAGCCTGGCATTTCTTACTTATTTTGGATATAACCCAGTCACAAATCATAACCCCCACATAGAGTTAAGTGTGTGTGGAGGGGAGGGGACTTAGAGAGGTTGTCGTCGTGCAGCACATGTTCGATAAAATAAACACTAAACTCCAAGACATTATATCAGACATATGTACTTTTTTGTGAACAAGTTGTTTTGCCAGCAACAAATTATTTCGACATGCTAAGTTATATGTGTATTTTACGGTAATATTATTGTAACAGTTACGGTATTTGCACAGGATATCTGCATGAGAAATTTCTTGCCAACAGTCAAATACCACTGAGTACCTCTGTGGATTCAGAGTTTTCAGCATCTTAAAGTGTCATCAAGTCAACACATATTCGATTCTCTGTTCAACAGTCAAAGATGAACTCAAATAAATATTCAATGTTTTATGTATAGCCATTATTTCCATAAATTTATTGACTATTTTGCATGTTACCATTGCAAACTTTGAATATTACATAATTTTTAGGTTAAATGTGTTCCATAGCATGCACCCAAAGTGGAATCAAACAGCAATGCGTGATGGGTTTCATTGTGAATGCCAAAACATTCAGATTTAATTTGCTCAAAATCAAAAGGGCTTTCAACTAAGTTTGTTCACAATACAACTACAACATATAAATATTCAAATCATGAACAGTGTCCTTCATTATTTGTTAATACTGGTATAAATGCTGTACATAAGGTAATCAACTTGTGTATCGAATTAATCTCCATACTTTCATTATCACAGATTAATCAAATATGAAACAAAATTTTATGATCAAAATTTTTTTTAAGAAATGAAAATGTCATAAATCTTCATTTTTTTTTTCTTCATAATAGATTTCTATTATATACAGTATGAGATTCTCTTGTGCAGTAAAATGGAATCTTTTCAACTTTTTTTCATGTACATTTGTATGTATTCGCTTCTATTTGGAAATTCTAATTTTATTATTTTATTACAGTGGTCCGAGGTCCGGGACTCGTCAATTTCTTAGTCGGACCTCCGGATTAAAAGCACTAATAGTCCGTCGGGCCATTGATTTTATTGATAACAAATAATAGTGGTGTCTGTATATAACAATTTAATCTAAAAACAGGTCTGATATTTGTGTACAGCAGCCATGAGTAACAGTTTGATTTTGGGTTTAGTTTTGTTAGTTATTGAACTTCCTGATAAAATTGAACAAACTATTATGAAGTTAAATGCTCTGAAAACTGTTTCTGGTACGAATATGAAAGATTTTATTGACTGCTATGAACCAAAAACTTTTGGGGATATTGCAATTAAAGGTATTTTATTACCAGCTGAATATAATACACCAGTTTTTGAAAAACTGATTGACAAAACCACTAAATATATAAACAACAGATTTATTGAACTTAATGAACCACCATTTAAACAGTTGTTGTGCCTGAACTTTCATCAGTGGCCTATGGATAAACAAGAATAGGCTACATATGGCAATGAAGATATTAATGAACTCATGAACAATACAGTAGTCAAGTCATATTTCAGTGAATCAGAAAGAGAGACAATAATTAATGATTGGTTAAACTTGAAGTTTTATTGCAAAACACACAGGTCAAAGACACTTTTGGATGTATACACAATAATCCTACAGAGTGCAAATGATGTTATTACTGCACCAGTTAA